GGCTATTTTTGATAAAAGTGAGACTTGTAGGATTATGTCGGGTTCGGAGCCGTTCAGATCGGAATAACCCTCCCATTCAACGACCGCGCGCGCAACAGTCTCACAGCTTATACTCCACCTCTATTACAAGCTCCCGCCCTTTTTTTTTTATTTGGGCCTGTCACTCCTTTTTGGCCTCTAACCTCTCCCTCTCCAATCGATTATTATGGCGTCGGTTCGGGTTCGTAGGAGGTCAAGAGCAGCTCCTCTCGCGTACGTGCCAGTCGAGCCCAATCGAGTCGTCGTCGTCCCCACGGACAACATCCCTCAACCAGAGCAGCCCAACTCACCTGAAAACGAAGAATTTCTCCGCAAAGAAGCAGAAAAGATATCTTCACCCGTCGCTTCATCACCCTCAACTACAGTTCCGGGCTCGAGTTCACCCCTCCGGACAACGTTTTCGAGACCGACGCCGTTTGGGACCGCCACTCGGCCCACGACGAGTCGAATGCGGAGCTCAACCGTCGTCGAACCTCGTTCTCCTCCTTTTATAACGGACTTTCCGACTCGCGGGGCTGCGTCCGTCTTTCAAAGGAGTAGTGACTCGCTCGGGGATGATGGGCAAGGCGGGCTACGGGAGGCGAATCGGGATAGTTTTATGATGTCACCAAGGGATCGTAGGGGGAGCAGGTCGAGTTGGTTTGTCGATCACGTTCGAGGTACGGTGTCGAAAGCAGCTGCGGGTGCCGCGGCCGCTTTAAAACCTGAAGGAGATCATCCAGACCTGGCGAGGAGCATATCACCAGATCAGTTGTCGGCTGCGAGCTCGGTTCCAAATGTGGATGTGGTCATCCCGCCGGATGTGAGAGATGGGATTAGTGCCATTTTGGCAAAGCGTCAGGGTACACGAAAGGACCCAGCATTGACAGACGACGAGATGCACCATAATGATATCGTAGAACACTTGGATGTGATTGGTGCGTAGATATGCCCGGCGACATTTATCTCTGATTACTGACACCTAGCCTAGACGCACAAATTTCCACAATTTCCCATCTCAGCAATGCGGCCAACAGTATCATCATGTGAGTTCGATGACTCATATCAACTATCATGTTCTTATATTCTCTAGTCCACCGCTAGCGTGGTATTCGAGAAAGCCCGTGGTATCACTCCCCGCCCCTACCCGTCTGAGAGAACGGGACGCCGAATCGATGGAAAGCGAAAATGAACTCGACGCTCACGTCGAAGAAGTTCTTTCAAAACGGGCCTGGATCCGACGGAGCTTGCAAGGACTGTGGGCTTATCTCAAAACTCCAATAGGCTTCATTGCAGGCGAGTCATTCATTCTTCGAATTGATTATAGTTGCTTATTACATGGTAACAGCGATCTATGGCTTCCTTGTTGTGTTCTGGGGTGCCGCCATCGTGTTCTTCCTCGGCAAGCTCATCAATCTACACGACCCCTACCTCCAAGGGTTTTGGGTCGAAATCTCTTCTCAAGTCGTGAACGGTCTCTTTACCGTTCAAGGTGTTGGGTTCTTACCTTGGCGAATCATGGATAGTTGGAACACATTTTGGATATATCACTACGCCTGCAAGGACCGTACCTTGAGGAGGCGTGCAAATTTGCCGCCAGTCGGAGACTTTAACGACATTCCGGACCCCTATATCGAATCAGAGCACGTACAGATGCTTACGGACAAGCAGCTACAGTGGCTTCGGCGACGTATGCATTGACCATTTCATTGGAACCGATGCTAAATTTCTTATAGACCAAGTCCGACTTATGAAGTCACAAACATGGTATCGACCTCATGCTACAGACACCCATCGCGCGTTCTCCCTCAAGTATGTCTATTTCACTCGCCATTTCGTTCAATTACTGATCCTTATAAGGGTTGCCATAGCCATATGTATTTCTGTAGACATGAATTCGGTCTTTCAGGTCAGTGGTCCATCAAACCATATTTCAAATTTCCAACACTCGATAGATTCTACTTTGTGGATGCATGTGGGGATTGAATCGTTTCCAGAGGTCAGTATTGATCACCTCAATGATGCACAAGTCTAACCTCTGTTATAGACCGCCATGGACAGTGGCAACCTTGATTCCCCTCAGTTTCCTCTGCGGTATCGCATCCGGTATTCTCATTTGGAAAGGAGGCGAGCGGTCCAAAAAGACGGCAGAAGTCAGAGAACGACTACGACAAGCCCTCCAACAAGAGAAAAAGGTATTGAGGGAGCGATATGGTTCTGTCATAGCGGAAGAGCCGACACTTCTCAAAGCACCTCCCTCGGGTGATCCCGAGAAGGATATGAACGGGAGGGGGTCCTCTGAATCTGCACGAAAGAGGAGCCCGTTACTCAAAACGCTCGCCATTGACGAAACGATGACGATACCCGAGGATGTGGAGCCCACGACAACGTCTTCGAACAAGGAAACACGACCGTTCAAAGAAGAGAAGGATGATTCAAAATTTGTATTGGTAACACCCAAATCACCAAGTGTAAAGGACTTTGGTGATGGCAAAGCTGAATAGAACACATGGATTGGAAGGATGAACATAAATTAAGACTTATTTGTTGGTATTTGGACAGTAAATAGTTTTACAAGAAATAGATGTGCTTTCAAAAGTCGAGACTGGGATCCACACCAACAGCTATTGGCAATTCATTCTCACATCCCCCTATAAAGACAAAGTCGGCAATGTCGTCGGGGTCTGTACTCTCCATGTTGAAGACGGCGACTTTTCCTTCTCCTTTAGTGTACTCTTTGACATCGGCTGCGAATCCAGCTGCCGGGTAAACCTACCAAGATACCATCATTAGTGTTCACCTTCACAATATATTTCAGAGCATACCGTAGAAGACGTTCCAACGACGAGGCACAAGTCGGCCTTCTTCACGATATCATCGATAGTTGGGAGAAGCGGAATTTCTTCCCCGAACCACACTACTCCAGGTCTCGTTAGTGCACCGCATTTGCTGCACTTTGGCAGATCCTCGAGCGGAATTTCGACCTCATTCTCTTTCTTGCCTGCCGCGATGATGTTTGCGTGCTTTTGGTCTGCTTCCCCCAGAGCTGGGCATAGAGGGATGCTGGTGTCGTAGACGGTGTGTTTGCATCTTCTACGTGTACATCTAACATCAAATAGGCGGCCGTGCATTTCGATTAAAGTAGAAAAGTTGGGCAGATCCTTTTCCGATACCGGGGGGTCCTTTGCTCTTTGCATGGTTTCAATTTGCTGAAGGACTCGAGAAGAAATACCATCCACGTTTTGAGTAATCAAGTGGAAAGATTCAGCAGCTGGAGCGACCTTCTCGAGAATACTGGGTACGGCAAGTTTAGCCAACACGACGTGAGCAGCGTTGGGTTGGCATTGGAGTGCTCTAATGAATCATTTAAACCAAAATTTTCGTTATAACATCAAACCATGCTTACTTTTCTCTTCTATAATGATAAAACTGCCAGACGAGGGATGGATTGTTTGCAAAGGCTTCAGGCGTGGCTAACGACATTGCGTCGAGCGACCGCCACATTCCACCTGATCCTCGAAATGTGGGAATACCTAAATGAGTTTATGATAGTTAATATCGCTGGGAATATAGCCGGAAGGGCCACTAGACACCTGAGGCAGCTGAAAGGCCGGCGCCTGCCACCACGATGATGTTTTTGGCCTTTTTCAACACCGCTTGGAACTCCTCGACATTACTACTTGGTAATCGTGGCATATTAGTCGCTTGTACTGGGTCGTAAAGAGTGGCCGAGGATGTGGCGTTGACCGTATGCGGATGGCAGGTGGGAACGCGAACTTGCAAGGTTGCGAACCAAACATAGCGCGTTTACGGACCAATGGCCTCTCTTTCGGCCCATCTACTCCAAGATTATGAAAGTTTACGCGTCATTCAGCAACCTGATGAGAACGAACAGCAAATTATACAGAGTGGCGCGATGGAGTACAACGCGCTCGTGCATGGTCACGGAGCTCCCCAGACGACTAGGCCACCGGTACGCGTAAATACAAGTGATTTGCTAATATATATTCATACTCTTTCCTTTAGGCCGTGGCTTTTTCCACATTTTCACAAGCCAGCCTTGCTCATGGCTATTCAGGCGGAGCTTCAACATCGGCACTAGGCTTAGCAGACTCGAGCTTCGGAAATATGCCCGCGTCTTCTGTCAATGGCCGCCTTCGCGATTCGGCGATGGTTCGGATGGAGACTCCTCTTCAGATGCCAGGCATCACAGTTCAACAACTATACGCGTTACAGCAAAAGCGCGAAGAAGAGCAGGCCCTCAAGACTGCTAACGCAATCGCCACATTACAAGCAAAACTTAACCAGAGACTAGGGCCGGAATACATTTCACAGCGTCCTGGGCCTGGTGGAGGTGTCAAGTTGACATACGCAGAAGGCTGGAAAATCATCAACCTGGCAAACGAAGTATTTGGATTCAATGGGTGGAGTTCGAGTGTCTCTAATTTATCTGTCGACTTTGTACGCCTTACAAAATTTCCTTGTGGTATCTTGGGCGTGCTGACTCTATGCAGATTGATTATAATCAGGAATCCCAGAGGTATAATGTCGGAGTCACCGCAGTCGTCCGTGTAACACTTAGAGATGGAACGTCCCATGAGGATGTTGGATATGGGCTCTTGGAAAACTGCAAAAGCAAAGGAATGGCTTTGGACAAGGTAGGCAATCGATCATTTCCACCTCAACTTTACTAATCACACATTCAGTGTAAAAAGGAGGCCATCACCGACGCGTTAAAACGAACATTACGAAGCTTTGGTAATGTTCTTGGAAACTGCCTCTACGACAAGGACTATATCCGAGAAGTCATAAAGATGAAAGTACCAGCAACGAAATTCGAGTCATCAGAACTTCATAGACGAAAGGAGTTTGCCGGAGAATCAAGCAATGCGGCTCCGAAAGGGCCGATAGCCTCGACCAGTAATGCCCCGCGAACTTCAATGCCACCTCCCCCGCCTCCTACTCGCACCCCACAGAATACCATCACTAAACCAGGCCCAGCTGTAACCAATAGTGCTGCCGCCTCAACTTCATCAACAGTCAATAAACCACCAGCGTCCACATCCACCGCAACAAGGACACCGGATAGCATAAAACGACAAGGAACTGATGAATCCCTTTATGCGTTCGGATCAGACGATGATGCACTATTCGAAGGGTTCTCGGTCGGTGACGAAACAGGGTCCACGATTCTGAATTTAGACCAACCGAGCGAAAGGTCTATCGTGCTGGAGAAACGACCCGCAGCTCCATCCGTCGCCGCCAATCCTACACCGACCAAACCTTC